AAAACATTCGCTGGAGGTATAAACGCAGTACAAAGATCTCGTGGAAAAAGGAATAAGCGAATACCAACGCTGTTTATCGAGGATATCGTGCAATGGAAGTCGCACCTCACATGACGGTTTGCGTCCCTTTTTCAAAAAACTTACCTAAACGTATACTTACGCGACTTGTATTTTTTTTCACTTGCAGCTGTTTCGCTGCACGCCAACGACTATCTGCTAGAACATGCTGCACACTCGCGTGATATCCTTTCCGAGAAATCGAGATCGAGATGCCGCGAATGGCCTGGATTAATAAGTGTAACACGCCGGTGTTCAATTTGCATAGGTAGATCTTCGAGGCGAAAGTAGATAGATCCACAGGACGTCGATCACCGTACGCGGTTTGTTCGCGAAATCCATTAAGATCTATCAGATATTCTATTAAGATATCAGGACTTGGGCAACGATGCACCGATGTGCAAATGCGCTGCTGGATGCAACCTTCGATAAATTCCAACTGCTATTTTTCGTGTCGGTTACGAGCGCGCATTCAAAGGGTTCTACCATTTACGAAGGACGCGATTTAGAGTTAAAAATGCATCGATCGACTTTAGGCAAGATGCGACGTTTTGTTTGACGATCGTCTTCCCCGCTGTTGGGATTTTCGTTTAACAGGTCTGACCGGTGTAAGGTACGCTACCGAATGTTTTCTCTCCCCATTCTCACTTTCAACACTTCCAGCATCGAATCGAGTCCTTTGGTTATCCTACCGTCGAATCTATCCTTTACCTGACGCGGGTTTCGACGCGTGTGTGGCCTTATCATTATACCTTACGGGCCGCAAAGGGCGTCTTAAAGGGAAAAAGTTTCATCTTAAGACGCTGTCGAAACTCTCGCCTGCTTGCATCTCGAATATCGTCCACTCGAACAATGTTTAGTTCGTTCTCCTGAATTCTCCAGAAACATTATTTGTTTAATAACGTTTTCTGCGAGACGCGTAAAATTTATATTTGGTAAGCACTAGGCGCTGCGTCTATTGTTCCAACGCTCGTTTCCTAGCTATTTTATCTGCGAAACGATCGTGTACGAATATTTTCCTCGGAGAACAATTTTGCTATAGGTTCGCGTTTCATACGAATTACCTTGTACATTGAATTCATTGTTTAAATAGAAAAATCAATAGGAATCGTCTAAGCATCGAGCGTTGCATACCGTTTTCTCTCCCGCGGACGATAACGCGAAAGGACTCGAACAATGGAGGCAAATACCGTTGCCTTGGCTACGCCTCGCATTTACTTCCTGTCGTCGCATTATGCATCGAGACGGTTTTAATAAAGACCGCGCGGCGCATCGATCGGCGATCGAAGGTCGTGCCGCGTAGGTATCGCGGACGCGGTTTCGTGAAATTCAACCTTCGCGAGCAGAAGGGAAAACGAGAACCTCGGTCGGCCGAAAGATTCTCGTACGCGTAAAACTGGTACTCCCGGTTTCGTATCCCCGTTTCATATCTGTTGGCAAGATTCACGCGCATGCACCCTCGTGTAACGCGAAACGATCACGAGGACTAGTTCTCGGACCTAATTAGCATCGGCAAATTCAGTTCTAGTTTCACGCCCGTCCGACAACGTGGGGTCGCGAACGCAGCTTAAAGGTGAGGCCAGGCTAACGTATGCGCGCGTGACAAGATCCTCTTGCGAAGATAGCGAAGAAAATTTGTCGCCCGGCCTGCCAGCCCCGGTATTCTGGTCAGGGACACAATGTACAACAGACGACGATAACGAAACCAGTTCTCTTTCTCTGCCCGTTCCGTACCGGCCCCCGATCGGTCGATCGTCGCGGATCACGGCTCATAATTATTCGCGAAGCGATGCAAACGATCCTACGAACGTCCAATCGACGCCCCACGCGTCGAATATCTTTCTCCCTAGGACCAGATGGAAACGTAAAAAAAAAAGGTTCGACGATCGTTGAGACGGAACCGTGAAAATAACAGGTTCTTAATTTTCGAGACGGTAGAAAAAAAAAGAATGGCCAGAAGCCGACAGTCACGAGCAAACCGGATCGCAAAGCTGAGGTTTGTTTAATGCCTCTGTAATTTAAACTCATTTCATGCGAGATGGATAGCTGTCCGGTCGAAGGTGAATTACGCTGGATAAATTGATTAATTATCACCGTTTCTCGCGATACGACGAAAGGTTATATCCAGCGTCTTTTTACTTTAAAAGAAGAAACAAGTTTTCGTTGAACGACTGAAACGTTACTGGTCTGGCAAAACAAGACCGACCAAGGGAAATGTTACGATAATTAGCCGACGCTGTCGCTCGAAAGTCACGACGGTCTTATTTCAACGAACAAGACCACTTCGTCTAAATGTACGAGGGCGTCGCGCGTCGCAAAATTTTGGAAATCTGCCAATCCCCTACCGGATGTGGACGAGGCTTAAAGGCTGCGAGGCCTGGACTCTTTCAGGGAGCAACGTCCTACCTCCTCGAATATGGTCTTACGTAGAGAAGCTGGTGTAGAAGTACGGACAACGGGGAGACATGGACGGACAAGGAGAGACGTCGTCCGTCGTGGTTAAAGGGAATGCGAGCTCGAAGGGCTCACCCAACAGGAGCCCGTCTACCCGTCGAAGGGTCGAACTGTCACGATCGTGAGAAGATTTTTTGTCTCCGCTCGCGTTCCTGTACTAGTCGTGATCTCTTTTCTTATGTACTCCCCCGGTGATCGTCGACGACGTTGCCCGGGGAATTCGAATGCACAGGGGCCGGTTTCGTCCGTCGTTTTTACGAATAATCGTCCGGCGAGATAGCCAGCAGGATCTATGCACGCTTGTGCCTGAGATACGAGAACCTTCGGTCTAATTTACAAGATCCTGTTGCCGAGACGCTGGTGCCCTAGCTTTTAAGTGACGCATGTCGTCGATAACTGGCACCGGGTCTACGTAAGGACAAGTATTTTTCTTGGATCGTAAAAATACAGGGGAAAGTAAAACACGTACACTGACAGGAATAGATTATTTACCGAAGGGACATTCGATTGTTCTCGCGACGATAACAACTACTACTTTCTGGTCAAATTTCAACTATACTCGGGATTCGTGGCAATCGATGAATAATAAATACGTGAAATTAACAAGACGGTGATAATTTAGGCCGAGAATGTTTTATCGCGTACCTTTCCCTCGATACATTGACCGGGCATTTGGGTATAGCTCTCGACCGTAATTTTCTGTAATGGATCCGCGAAGCTAACAGTAGATCAATTTCAAGCGTAATTTGGAAATAAGTCGTGAGATTTCGAGATAAGTATTCGGCAAAGTAGGCTATCCGAGTTACGTGCTTCTGCCGAAGATAAAAGTGCAAAGCAAGACGAGGGGAGAAAACTTTAATCAGTTACCGCCAACTCCTCGGATAGCCTTGTCGGAAGTAGGACCGAAAGGTCTTTTCTCTCCAGATTACAATGTTTCCGAACGTTTTAAGACCTTACCGATAAAATTCCTCGAAAGTAAATTTAAAACCAAGCATGATAGCCGTGCCTGAACCTTGACAGAATTACTCGAGCCAAGATGGAACTGTCAAGGAGAACCTATTTTTCCTTCCATCTTACTTCATCGAGTTTCCCAGGCATTCGATTTAGCGTAGAATATTACATTGTTGTAGTTTCGCGGATAGTTGACCAGCCACTCTGGCGTTTTGGATGGGGAGGTATTCTAATAAAACGCGACTGCTTCGAAGGATACTCGTTGAACGTTCGATTCGCCCTTTAAACGGTTGGTTCTCGATCATCGAACGTCCTTTAAATAATCCGAACGCGATTAAACTCCAACAGTGCCGGCGGTCGGCCCTGTTCGAGTTTTCGACGCCTCATAATTGCGTTTCATCGATCCCTCTTCGTCGGGGATGCATCGCAACACGATGAAAGCCCGGTGTATCTCGAGTAGATAGTATCTAGCGAACAATGCAAATAACAATCGACGCATTCTCGGTGCGATTCATCCGTCGACGGAGGAGGTACGAGGTGCAACTCGATCTCCTCGCGCGCGAACACGTTGCAATCGTTTACGGCAGCGGCGAAGATGCTTCGGAGCGCTTCTACGATCGAGCAAGATTCGTCGGATTGTCCGAGCGGGCCAGAACGGCCGGAGATCAGAATTGCGGGTCGACGCGCGGGACAAACTCGCCCGGCGAGATCGAACCCGAGAAATTCTACGGGAATCCAGTACCATATTAGTTGCGGGCGAATTCGAACGTCTCGGTTGGCACGTAATTACGCCCGAGGAACGAGAATCACGGAACCGTGGAACGAAAATAAAATGCGACCGGTCAGGTAGCCGGCACCGTGTTTTTCGGAACTGCGCGCCTCGAGATTTTCTAATTGTTTCGTGGGTTAAACGGCGAACGTAAGATTCGAAAACGGCTTTCGACCTGTTCCCAATTGAAAAATTTCTGCCGCGGCGAATGGACCGTTTCCACGGTAATTGCTTATGCAACAAGGATTTATCGTGTCGAAGGTACTTGACTCCAATTACGCGCGGCGAGTCCGTTGCGCTCGCGGGGAAATAAATAGAAACGCTTCGCTTCAATTGAAGGTGGCCAGATTCTCTCGTATTGCAATGTCAGAGGTCAGCGAATGCGCAGTGGCGTCCCCGCGGCCGTTCCGTTGGATAACCGACGTCGTCGACAAATGGCAAATTCCTCTAACCGCATAGTCATTAAGTTACGATCAGCGACCGCTAACGAAGAACGCGCCGCCATAAATAACCTCCCGAAGAATCTCGACGCGACTAAACGCCCCGTCGACAACTACAAATTGCGTAAATTATACGGTCGTCGATACACCGGGAGACTGTCGCAACGATTCCAGCAAGAAACATAATGTACGTACACGCCGCGCCGACACGGTTCAACGTTTGCGCGTCTCATTCTACTGGCTGTCGTCGTCTAGAGCGACGAGCGCACAGCGAGGAAGGTTCGTCGTCGAGAAGGGTGGAAAGGGATCGTTCGTTGACGAGCACTTACCGGTACGGTATCCTGCGTTGCTCAGGTAAGCGGCGAACGAGTGCGGCTCGTGATCCCGTTGCCATTGGGGGCTGCTGCAGTTGTCGTTGTTCGTGAAGACCTCGTGATTGTGAACGTAACGGCCAGTCAGCAACGAGCTCCTGCTTGGACAACACATAGGAGTGGTCACGTATGCGTGTCTCAGCTCAGCTCCCTCGTCCCTTATTCGCCTCAGGGTCCGTGGCATGAAGTTCAGCGAACCTAAGGGATTGGACCAACCGCAACAGACGATCAAAAGATTCGTTTGGCGAATCTATGTACGCGCCGAAAAGAACTCGGCTCCTATTCAAACGCAGATAAAGGTTTCTCTCTCCTTCTCCTTCGCGCACACGGGCACGTTCAGAGATTACTTTCTCGTAGACAAGTTTGATTGGAATCGAACCTTTGCTTTTACTTCTACTCGTTTTTCGATCGAGATACATACTTATGAAAACAATTGTACAGGCCGTGATACAAATAAAATAGAACTAACCCAGTTCGACGTCCTGATCGTCTGTCAAAATCAGGACTATGTTTGGTTTTCTTTCTCTAGGCTGCTGATACGGCAGATAGGGTGAGTTCGACTGTGAGTTGTAATTGTTGTTGCCATTGTAATTAGACTTGTGAAGGGAACCGCGACGCTGACCACCGTAAACGTCGTCCGCAGGGGCGTCCGCGTCCGTTCGTCTGGCATTGACACCCAACAATAGTACGGCTAAAAACTGTAGTAACTTTCTCATGGTGGCTGGTCGTCGGTTGCAGGCTCTTCCTCTCAATCGGATGTCATATCATGGCTGCTACTGTAACAAGCGAGGCGCGTCGCGCGTTAACAAACGTTTGCTTATGACGTTAATTGGATCGAAAGCTCGATAATTCCTTCTTACGAGCCGTAACCTTCCACCAGATCGATATCGAATCAAACGCAAAATTGGGGACTTTAGCGACAAGCAATATAATAATAATTCTTTATTTACATTTACAATTTCGAACGTCAACGATAAAAAAGGGTTATGAATAATAGATCGTCCGAGTACCTACAGCAATATTTTAAAGGATTACGGGTTCCCAGGACCTCCATCGCGGCATAAAAATGAATTTTACACGCGTGTGCGTTTTCTAGACGTGCCACACAGGAAGATCGCACGATCGCGGCACAACTGGAATTGCTCTAGGGTAAAATTCTTGCGCGACCGAAACTGATTGCATAACAGCTTAATGCCACACGGTGCGTGGTAGTATGTGCGACCGTTTATTATTACCAATAACGCATGGTTCGATCAGGCAGCGTGCGAAACAATTAACGAAGAACGCGATCGATTTCCAGTCAGAGCGCAACTCTATCGAATGGCTCGCTGGCTGGACGTGATCCTTGTAACAAAATATTTAGCCGGAGCAGGTCTTATTGCTCGGAGAAAGATGAAAGACGTAAAAAAGCATGGACGCGGCCTAACCAGGCAATGGGCAGCGTGTACGCCACAACCATAATCGGATAGCTGGGGGTTTTATGGGAAACCCTCGTCATTCCTCGGCATTCCTCCTGGCAGACATCTCGCGAATGACCGGACCCTCGTAAATAGTCGTTAGCACCTGTATTATCCGTGTCTCGTTGAATGGATTATAGTTGCCGTTTATATCAACTTTCTTCAGACTATGGTTTCCCGCTAGGCCAGGTACTTCTTTATTATTTCTCGTTAATATCTCAGCTAGAGGCACTGGCGGCGGTGTCTCGAGCGTCGGAAGATATTTCAGGTTCGTTTTAAAAGCGAACGCGATTCCGATCGAAGGGTGGAAGAACGATGATTCGAGGTTTTACGACGCGAAGCAGAATACAGACGCGAACAACCGAATTGTTATACCTGTAGTAAATTTATTCGAACAGATTCCTACGGGCTTGCAAAAACGTCGAGAAAAGACTTTTCCCTGGCGGGAGAAGAAAGGCGACATTCGCGTCGCGATTCATTCTCTTCCGACCTATTTCCTGCAAAATACGGTCTTTTATTAAATTTCGCGAAACGTGCGATTCTGTTTTCGCTGTTTCGACAACGCGACGAGAATAAGAAATGACCACGATCGAGGTGACATTTTCTCAGTTATTGTTCCGTCCAAGCAACTTGCTTTCAAACGCTAATTTCCTACTGTGGCAAACCCTGTTAGTTTGGTATTTCGTTTCAACATTTACGAGATTTCTCTTGCACGCGTCTTAAACACGATCGAGGTTGCGAATAAGTTCAGGTGCGAGAGCCGTCTTGTAACGTACGAGAATCCACCTTCATAAAGTTCACGAGAATACACCTTTACGCAAAGACTCGCGCGTACATAGATCGGCGAAAGTGAGATTTCATCTTTACGTATCCACCTGGCGCACGGTATTTTACGTTGCTACAAGACCTTCGCGTGTCTTTGTGTACAAGATAGGAAGATAAAATAAGGAGATTCGAGAAACACAAACCGTTTATTTCCTCCGTATGAATTTCCTTGCCTATTCCTATGGAATTCTATGAACGTGCATCTACGATTTCTTTCGACGGAGCTAGTTTCGCTAATGTTTCAACCTCTCCGTTCTGCTACAAATTTCTCTATTCTTTTTAACTCGCGTACGCGTCCCGATACGATCGAAGAAGCGTCGGGATTATGGATCTCTAATTAGCTCTATCCGCGACCAAGTCGAAGCAAGTCGGTTGGAAGCGTGTCCAGAGGTGGCTGGAAAGATGTCAGGAAGTGATGTCACGGTCGATCTGGCTGCTCGATCCGGCGGCTCAGAACCCGCATTAATTACCGCTAATTGATAATCACCTCGTCTCTCCCGGTGCAGCAGGTAGGCAAATAAGAAGAGGACAGAGGCTGGAAGGCACAAGCATCGAAGAAACAATGTGCACTTTCTCGCTCTTTCGCTTCGTTCCCCGCGGGACTCGCCGAAAGAATCCTCGCACGATACATTATACAATTTATCGCGTCGTAATTGGCTGTTGCAGTCGTCGATTAATTCTCGATGGCTCGTGAAATTCGACCGAAACCCCTCGACGTTTCCGACGACGATGGAAAACTTGGAAACGTTCAAGCTCGCGTCGGGCTCTACAATGCGGTCGAGCGATAATTAAATTTTGGTACGTGGAATGTTGGTTTTTCGCTGAATAATTCGTATACCCTGGGCACACAACTTGCACGTTTCCGGGCAAAACACATCGGTGCATTGAACTCCATATTCCGTCTCCGTTTCTTGTGACCAAGAGTTCAAGCATCGAACTCGACAGAAGCTAAGAATAGTAAAACAATAATCTCTCCGTATGTTTCGCAACCGTAGGAATTGAGTAACTGGTATCGTCGAGTGTCGCCGTCGCGTTCGAAACTATTGTGCAAACCGCTATGTCTATAGGAAATAACTTGGGTGTCGAGAAGCCGGCGGGTTTTCTCCGTGCTCCTTGAACTGGGAAACCGATGATATCGATCAGCCATCAATTAACACTCGATCTCGTTAGCGCTCACCGCCTAGTCGAAACCTAATCCGAACACTGTTGTACGCGAGCATTGCATCCACATCGGTATCGAGCCCCCGTGGCTCGTTTGCATTCGATTCGCGGCGCGAACGTGCGTCCAAGACTTTTTCTCTCTTTGCTACATTCCATCTTCCTCCGTAACCCCGGATCGTTTCCTTCGTCGACGTAATTTACGTACGCAAGAGCATGCTGAAAAGCAGCGTGGGTGGCGAAGCTATCGACAACAGATACACGCTATATACGGTCGGAGTAGGTCGCAGGTAAAACGGATGTTACGTATTCGTAGCTCGCGTGTAAACCTGCGATGCGACACACGCTCTCCGTTCGGAGTGTAGGTCGATCTCTGTAGGTCGGCTCGTCCGAGGAAGTGAATATTCATTCGAGGCGTTCGCCCTGCGTGGGAAGCGCAACGAAATTTACGATCGACTAAACGATCGTGCCCGTTGATCACGATAACGATCAACGCCACAACGCCGGTGTCAGAAACGCGAGGCGAAAATCACGTATCCCCGCGCATATGTGCCGTCCGATCGGGCAGGAATGCTCTGAAATGCGAGCTCGTACGAGCCGCGAGAATTCGCCTAGTTACTTGGATATGATTTACCGTAACGTTTCGTTACCTGCTGCTTTGGAACCGCGCGATCCTTCCGAGTATTTCCAGTTCTAACGCGAGTACAAATATTGACCCATTTTGTTTACGAGCTGTCTCGATTTATCATCGTTGTGCAAATGTAATGAGGTTAACTGTGGATCAATAGGCTACGGATAGTCTATTGGGTCGTAAAATAAGTCCTTGCGTTTACGATTCTACGCAACGCAATCGGGAAGATGTTCATTTCCACAGGTCTGTAGCAATAGGAGATAATTTCGAGCTAGCTTTCCTTGCCCGTGACCAAAAATCTAACGAAAAATCCCGAGAGTTTAATTTACAGTCCAACGCCTCTGGCTATGATCGATCTAGTCCCGAGTCATCATCATTGCTTTCCTCCGCGTTAGAATTGGTCGCTCGCACCGATGTTATTACGATTCCCCGCTGTTATCGCCATATCCGACGGACGAGATATTCTCGTCATTTGAGAATCCCAATCGACAAGCTGATGATAGGCTGGAAGAACCGTCGGGAATCGCAACGCCAAGACGCGGATTAGACCATCTGCGGTTTACAATTGGCCGCGGCTCGTCGAGCAAATAACAAGCCAGTGAACAGTCGTGATTATCACGCAGACGCACACGTATGATGCATCGTTTTCTTCTTATAGACGCGATTCGACGATTCCCGAGATAAGACACGATTTTTATTCGCAATTTCATGACATCTTAACTCCGCCTTCGAGTCGAAATCGTGTACGTAATTGAGTTATTATTCCGAGAAGTGCATTAAGATTTACGCACTACCTTGCATCCTTCCGTACGTTGAACCTTTTTCTCTAAAACGTTGTAGGGTGAAAACTACAATTCGTGTGTTTCCAGATACTTTCCAATCGAGTGTTTTGTCACAGTTAACGCGCGTAAATTCTGCGGGCGTTTTGTGTATCATCGTGCGCGGCATGTAATTTTTGACGTCACTTCCTGGGACAGAACAGTAGGAACAAGCGTGGACTGAATTCAGCGCAATCAGATAATGTGGCCGACGTATATACACACGTGCAGTCGTGTTTCGACTTTACGCAACGCGAACGTGTGCCCACCGACCCGCTAGGGATGCAGTCGTCCGGTGCATCTGTTTCTAAGCTGCACCCGAAACGATACAGTTACGGATACTGCACGGACTGTCGATAATGCGAAGTCGTCGATCGTAGAATAAGAAATTGTGTTGCACTCGGTTTAAAGTGTTAACGGTACTCCTGCGCGACAAGCTGCACGCGTCGACTAGAATAGATCATTGATTTTTCTCTACCGATACGGCCGCTGCGAGGAACGCTCGAGTCTCCGAGACGGGAGTGGTGCGAGTCCAAAAAATTGCAAGATCGAGTTCCACGTTGCTACTATTTACGTCAGGCTTGTAAAAAATGTAACTTATCGCGTGTTATTGGAAACTTTCTAATAACTGCTTCCTGAAACGATAATACGCAAGTTAACAAATTTACAAGATTTCGAAACAGGATACCGTCGATTCTTGATTAACTGTGGGCGTTGGTAGATGTTAGGATGATCGTACTTCGCAAAATGAAATATTTGAATATATTTAAACCCGCGCAAAAAATGGCTGAACCATTTTGATCTCTGTGGATCTGGTCGCCACGTGTGTACAGTCATGTTCGACAAATTCAGCTAGAAGGGAAGTTCCTTGTCCCACATTTTCGATC